TATTTTTTTTATCATTATCACCTGGAAATGAACAGATTCAGTAGTGTCGAATTATTCAATTCAGTTTGATCGTTCATAAGATATTGGGAGGTTTTGAATTTGTTTGTTTCCATACTCTCCAACAGGTTAAGTTTTAAAGCTTTCTTCTAGAAATGGAGCGGCTTGTATTCATGGTTGAACTCATGTTCCTCTGTGATCAAATGAGTGGCATTTGTGGAATTTATTTTTTCATTCTGGAAAATATTTTTGTGTTCCTTTATGCGAGCTTTGAACGTTCTTTCAATTTGACCTATGTGAAACATCGAAAATGACCCACATGATAATTCATGCACTCCTGATTTTTCTGAAACTGAATTTTTATCTTTGTTATTCTTAATGTGCATGCCTAACTTGTTGTTGGTTTTGAAAGCAATATTTACTCACATCTTTGTTGCGCAGAAAATCTGAAATATTTGGCTAATCCACTACAAATATTGCTTTCAGAATCATCAATTTAGGCATGCACATTAAGGATAGCAAAGATAAAAATTGAGTTTCAGAAAAATCTGGAGTGTATTAATTATAATTTGGGTCATGTTCGATGTTTTATATAGGTCAAACTGGAAGAACATTCAAAGCCCGCATGAAGAAACACAAAAATAGTTTCCAGAATGGAAAAGCCACATAAGCCACCCATTTAATCACAGAGGGACAAGAGTTCAACAATGAATACAAGCCCCTCCATTTCCAGAAAAAAGTTTCGAAACCTAACCTGTTGGAGAGTATGGAAATAAACGAAATCAAAAATTATAAATATTTTATAACGATCGAACTGAATTGAATAATTTACCATTATTGAATCTGTTCATTCACAGGTAAAATGGTTTTATTCATTGAAAAGTAGGCATACGAGTAGGTGATATGTTAGAGTATAAAAACTGTATTAATTACACACTTATCATCATATAATATTCAACAAGGAATTAAGCACACAATAATTTCCTCAATGTATCAAACAGTTTTGACCTGGCAGTGCTTCTATTAAAGTACATGATATAATTTCATTTACATATAATTTACTAATAATTATCTTTCGAACAATGAATATACGGGAAATATAATCGAATTACCAACCCGACCATTGTGTTTATGAACACTGTTGCCATCAAAGCACTCCAATTCGATTAAGTTAATATTTTAATGGACTATAAACGTGATTGCAGCACAACAGAGTCAGTAATGAATCAGCTTCCGGAATATAGGGTCTTTCATTAAGCGTTTCGTTTCTTCAAATTCACCTTTCAGGCCTCTCTATGTTCAAGATTCCATACTGAGAAGTAGGAGTTCGATACTAACATTATGATACCAACATACAGGTCACTGATTCTTAATGTTCTACTCAATGATGTAATGAGCCGATTCTTGCAAGAACTTCGGTTGGTAGAATTGAATGTGAACAGGCAACACATCAATCATTCAATTCTTCTCAGCTATNTCGAAACGTTGTGACATAACTTGGTTTGAAATCTTTCAATTTTTATTTTTTAATTTTTTGTTGATAATATTTTTAATTTTTTCAATTTTTTCAGCTTTCATTATTATTTCAATTTTTATTTGTTTGATTGTTGTTGTATGTTATTTCTTTGTAATTTCAGTTTTTTGTTTAATAAAATTGTTATTTTCGGTTAATCTTCTTGATTTTTTTTCTCCGTACCTGATATAATAATGTCAGGACGAACTATTCCGTTTTCGGCTTTGATAAGTTTGTTGGGGGTTAAAAAGGACACCAATATGTCTTGGCACAATCATGTCGCTGGACTTGCAAAGGCTGCTTGCCAAAAGCTTGAAACACTGCAACGTTTGATGCTTTTTGTAGCTTAGATCAGACTTTCTTTGTAGTATGTTCACATGTATGAAGCTCCACCCCTAAGCATACCCTGAAGCTGCTAGAGTAGGAACACGAACATCAATTGCAACCTTGATAGTCGTGAACATGAAAGGAATGTTGAAGATTTGTCTCTCTTCCATAGATACTTCCACGGGAGGTGTGGAAGTTACCTGGTGCATTTGATTCCAGCAAGAGCGATACATATCAGAAATATACGACGGGCTGTAGCTGCTCATCGTTTTGGGGTTCAACTCAGTACACATTGGGAGAACTGCTTCTATCTAGAATAAACTTTCTGAGAAGATTTTTCCAAATGAATCCAATCTCCAGTGATT